CTTATTCAAATGGACTTTTATTCAAAGCCCGACACAAAGGCACCAAAAAGATGGGAATTCATTTGGCTTTCTGCTCCCTGCCACCTGGGATACCCAAAAGGGTCCGAGCTGTTGTTGCAGGTACACACATACAGACATGAAGAACAGCCTGCATGAAGGTAGCAAAACACAGAGCACAAGCTGTGAGACAACTGCCAGCTGTGCCTCTGCATCCCCAGCACAGAGCGGAGAGGCTGATAAGGGGTAATTCAACCAGCACTACCCCAGGGCTGGATCCAGGCCCAGAACATCAGCAGCAGCATCGCCTCACCTTTACTCAGGGGAAGCTTTATTCACATTGCCCTACCTGCCCCTCTCTGCACAACTACTCCAACCACCGAGCCAGGCTCTGCTCTGGTCCTGCTTCCCACACTGCTGCACAGAGACACACTCTACATTTGCCTGCTGAGCTCTGCAACAAAGCATGAAGAGCCCTATCTCTGACCACATTCAGTTAAACACTGCCTTGGACATTCCCTCAATCACCCCTGCTGGAGAATCACAGCCAGCCCAAATGTTTCCTTCCCCATATCAGGCCAGGTACTTTATCACACCCATCTGGCTGGCTTGCAGGTGCCAGACGGATGACAAGGAAAGCCAGACTGAGCGTGTCCTCCCCATACTGTCCTCCTGTGTCCCCACATGGTTTGTTTGATGGCTCTGTCTGAGCCAGACCTGCCATGACAGGATGGACCAACAAAGAAAACCACTCACATCACCACGAGGGATCAGGAACTCCCTGGTCACATGGAGAGTTAACACCAGCTCCACTGCAGTGACAAAAATGCATAAAGCCAGAGCCAAAACAACTAAGCTGAAGCCAAGAAGACTGAACCATTTCTACTCCATATTCCTATTCAGATGAGACAAATTCATTTGAACTGAGAGAAAGCAGAACACAACAGACCAAACCCCACACAGCTTTGCCTTAGGGTGGCTGATGGCACCAATGAGGTTCCCTGCTTGGCAAGAGGCAGGGATAAAGTATCCTACAAGAGTAGGGCACACCTACACACACAGCCCTGTTTTCATGCTCTGCTGCAAGGTGCAGAGATTACCAGGGCAGCAACAAGAAGCTGAGTGACTTCCTGATGGAAGGATGCTAAAAAAAAATAATAATAATAATTTAAAAAAAAAAAAAAAAAAAAAAAACAAAACCAAAACAACCCAAAACCTACAAGGCTTGGAGAAGAACTGCTCCTTACAGAGAAGACTGCTTTCAAATCCAGGTTCTTTGCTTAACAAATCAGGGCATTTTATGCTTCTCAGACTGATAAAGATCTAAATGTCTCTATGCTCCAGTTAGAGCAATCCAAAAAACACCAGGGAATCTTTGTAGGCACTGTCACTAAACAAAACCCAGCTCCCACTGAAGACTTGTATAAGCACTAGGATTTTAACAGCACCTACAAGATGAAGCAAACAACTTCAAGCTTACTGTCCTTTCATCCCTGGGTTTGCTGTTAAGATCTGCCCTCTCTGAAGTCTGTCTTCTCCTTCTGTGTGTGGTAGGGACTCTCTTGCATGAATAGAAATAGCCAGTCTGGAGAAGCAATGGGAGGGAAGTTCAATTGTTTGCTTTTCAGCACTCAGAATGGCTGTCAGGCCCATTGCAGTGATGTATGCTACCAAAAAACAGCCAAGGTTCAGTGCCACTGCTGCCGACATTAGCACTGTGACACCTCGAGCTCCTGTTTCAGGGTCCATGAGCTGACAGCTCACATCACAGCTTGAGGGCTATGAAAAAGTAAAGGCTTCAGCTGCTCTGGTCCAGCAGAAAGGTTGTCCCTCAAATCCTGACCCTTGTCAGCTCAAAGAAAGTCTGAGCCACTGCACAGCATCAAACCTGAGAACAACTGCTAGGAAAACTCAGGTGCAGGAAGGAGCAGCAGCAAGGACATGGCTCAGAGCAGCTGTACCAGGAAGAGAGCACTTATAAGAACAAGACAGCATGAGGTAAAGCTCACCAGGACTGAAGGTGAACCAGCCCTACCTGGCCTAAATCCTTCTCCTGAACACAAACGCCTCCTTGACCACATCAGAGGCCAAGAGCATGGGAACCAGCTCCTCAGGGTCAGCAACTCCAGGCCAGAAAGTGCAGGGAGGGCTCAGACTAGCAGTCAGGCACAGACTCTACATGTGGAAGCAGAAGCCTCTTGCAGAAAGATCCCTTGGGGAAGGTGGGTGACCCGGCTCATCAGCCTGTCACCAAGCAACAGGGAAATCGATGGGCCTTGTCTCCAGTGTTCTGCTTGCTTCCAGATCTCTGGAGAGTAACAAATCACCTTGTGCTATCGTACTGAAATGTTGGATGTCTGCCCCTTGATACGCAGAAGGTTGCGCTGAGGGCAGATGCTAACCAGCTCTGCACTTCTCACCACTGCAGGCAGGTCTGGTCTGTTCAACAGGGAGTGAAAGCTCTCAGGAGCATCCTCAGGGTTGCTCCACTCTGTCCTGTGTCACAGGGCAGCAGGGGAACTCATTGGTATGAAGCTGAAGGAACAAGGACCTCCTCGTTAGGCCATTTGATTCTCAGCTTCTTCTGATGACAGGTCACTTGCTAAAAGGGGCAAAATAAGAAACTGGGCTTAAAATGAACCTTTTAAAATAAAACAATACTAAAGGAAACAAAAGCCATAATCAATACAGAAAACAAGTGCATCTGATCAGATGCAAACATCAGCCTTTTGCAGGCTACAGCGGAATCCCTCTGCAATGGATCTAACATTACAATTGTCAGGCTAGGAAAGTCTCTCCCAACTGGTGCAGCAAATCAGGCCAGATAAATTCCTCCTCTCCTGGCACAGTCCGCACTCTTAGGAAGGGAAACATCCCCACAGAGGCTGAGTGGCCAGCTGGAGCCTCAGTATCTTTACGCAGGTGAGTACCATACATCGTGTTGCACATTCAGGGAGATGCTGAAGAACCAGCCCTTGTTCTCCATAGTTGCTAGTCACCCAACAGCACCACAACACTTCCGTGCTCCTGGACAAAACACGTACCCAGGCCTTGTCTTAAGAGCTGCTTCCCGGCTTAGGGAACTGTATTCCACCCAGCAAAGGCAGAGATCTTGCAGCACGCAGCTTTCTTTCATTATGGGATGTGGCCCAGGACTGCTACCATCAGCTTCTGATAGCCCAACACACAGCCAGCCAGGACTCAGTTCACTCTTGGATGCCTCAGGGAGGATCAGAGGCTGCACATGGTGCGACGGGGAAGGCAAGGGCCTTGCTGCTTGCTGGCAAGGGGAAGGTAAGCTTCTTCCTCTTACCTGGACCTGCTATTCATTCCAAGTGAATCACCTTTTTTTGTTTGTTTGTTTTCCTTAAATTATGAACAATATGGAGAAATTGAAAGCAACCGTGTTTGGTCCAACTCCTTCCCTCCCAGCCCCTTGGCTGATGCTCTGTAGGGCTCTCACAACCGGCAGAGGCAGAAGAGGGTAGGAATGAAGACACCAAAGGCCACCAATATAGGGAACATGAGGCTGCTGTTGTCTGAGGCATAGGGGTTTGGTGTGCGTGGGCCTGATTGAACCCGGTTCTTATTTGCCTGTTTTTTAACGCTGGAGCCATCATCATATTCATCCTCATCGTCGTCGTCCTCTTTTTTCTCCAGACCTGGGTGTGGTTGCAGCTTTGGAACATCTGTTGAACAAGAAGAAAAGTTACAAGGAGGCAGGATGTAACCCAGGAAACCTCCCTGTCCTCAGAAGTGAGCGAGGAAAACAAAGCTCCAGGTAAGAAACACGTAACTACTATCTAAAAGAACCCCATAAATTACTTGTTTGCAGGACTGCTGCTAACATACAAAGCTAGAGAGAATTCATTTGCAGCTATAACTTAAGACCAACTAGACACGTTCCTTTCTTCTCTACTCCATATGCAAGAAGTCTTGTACCAAATTTGTGTTACTTATTCTGAAAATGACAGCTTTGTGCACTTACAGAGGGGAATGCTAAGACACCTATCTCATTCTGCACCCTGTGGGAATGTGCTGATAGAGAAACAGCCTTGGCAGAGGTAGCTCAGAAAGAGCTATGATCTCATGGTCTGAGAAGCAGCAGGCTGATCTCCAAAGGGAAAGAGCCTTCTGGCTCAGAAACTATGCTCACCTTCCACTGTTCCTTGCAGGATATACAGGGCACAGATTTTCGGATTGTCATAGTAGCCCTAGAGAAAGTGAAGATGGAAGTCAGAGCTACAGCATAATTCAAGAAACAATCTCCCCACCTACTACCATCTTCCCCACCCCCAGCACACAGCTGCATCACGTGGCTGGGAAAGAAAAGGGAAAAGGAAAATAAAGGCTCTGGCCAGCAAAGCCTCGTTACCTTTACAAACTCAATATGAAGCTTTCCTGTGAACGTTGAAACCTCTCCCTGGACACTTAGTTTTCCCTTTTTGATACTCATGGGAATGATCTCATCATGAGCTGTGCTATGTCCAACTCTGTCAAAAATGTCCAAGTCCTTCACCACCACGTGGCCATTCAAGCGAACATCAAACACCTTCAGGGCGGAAGAAACGACAGTGTCAGAACAGATTCAGGCATGCAACAGTTGAAAGGGGAAAACCAGAAAGCATTGCAACATGCACTGTACCACCACGCATTCTCCACTCCCTTGAGAAGGATTCAGAAGCCAAAAGCATCCAGGTAAAGACACTGAGGCATTAAGGTTGCTTTCAGATACCCTGAAATTTGCCTCTTACTTCTAACATAATTCCTGCTGTTCAAAACTGAAGACAACACAATTCTGTTCTGTTTTTCATCATTTCCTTTCACAGCTTTCCATCTGCTGGCTGAGGACCTGCTCCTTCCCTAGGGAGGCTGTGGCACACCATACCCAGGGAATGAGGCCATTTCTAACAAACAGCCCCAAGCAAAGCAGGGAACAGGAAACAGTCTGGTGAAGCTACTGACAGGATGCAGGGTTTGAAGGAGATGAAGTGATCAACTGCTAACCACATCTGAATTCAGAGTGAAAGTCCTCCTCGGGGCCTTAATGACTCAAACTTCATGAAGCACCTGGGGAATCCCAGCAGAACCCCATGACAGAAGAAAAGCCAGAGATGTCTCAGCTCTTCAGCTTAATCTGAGACTGTTTGTTGCATCCTTTCTGTAAAGCAGCCCCATAGTTCTGTTCCCTGAAATACTTCTGTCAGAATGGCAGTACAGTGTTTAAGAGGAGCTCTAAAGCAGCTGACAGAGTGAGGGTAAAGCCAGATTGAAATACACGTTTCTCTTCCAATTTATCACAGGGCATTGGACTCTTTGTGCTTTTGCTTCCACATCTTTACAAGAGGGATTTCAAAAGCAGGCAAGGATTATTGATCTCCAGAGAGCTTTGATGAGGGGTTGAATTTAACTCTGTGCCTACAGTGTCAATTTGAACCATTATCAGTTATTACACTTGTACAAACTGCTTCAGTAGTTTATTTAACCCAGATCACTTTCCTGATTCAGTATGTGCAATACTTGCTCCACAACAGGCACGCAGTTGCATCAGACACAAGCAGCCAGGGAAATGGCAAAAACACTTCTCAAACACAGCACAGCCTAAACAGATCATAAAAACCCAATGCTACTTATGTGATGTTGCACATGTTTGTTTGAACACTCTCGTAATGCAGTTTGACAGGTCAAACGTGTATCTGTCATGTGGAAGAGGGTTCCATGTATCAAACCACTCTCTTATGAGCTCCACAGATGAAGTTAACCTGTAGTGTCTCACTTCACTTTCTCCATGCAAAGCATAAAAAACAGCAGAGGCAACCCAGGCACACACAGCTTTAACTATCAAAGAGACAGGAAAGCTCAGAGCAGCACAGAGCTGCTGCTTACCTTCTGTTGAGATTGTGCAAAGTAGACCTCTGCAAACTTCAACACCAACACGTAGTCACCCTCTTCTTTGATGGGAACTTCATAGCCAAAGGTTTCCTCATTGTAACGCTCTGTCTGGTACAGGATCTGATCTTCTGCATTGGACCGCAGGATTGGTAGCTTCATACCATAGTCAGAAGCTGTATTTCAAGCACAGAACAGTTCATTTGGTTAATTTCTGAGGAACACGAACAGATGCTTTATTTTCTCTTAAGTGCTTAATTGCACATGGCCTTAGCACTCACTGCCCTAGTGAGACCCATTCTCACTCCTTGCTCTGGTCAGGAGAAGGCACTACTGGAGCAGAAGCAGCCAAAATCCCTGAACCTGGGTCCTACAGAAAAATGGGCCTGGACCTGCTGCAGTCCCAGAGACAAAACTCACTCACAGTTTCAAAAAGAAGAGCTGGTTTCACATACAGGGCGCAGAGCCAAAAGACTTGGCCCCAGACTCCTGCTTCAAAGAGGAAAAACGCCTGAAAATGTTTTTACAACATTTTCAAAGTATAAACTCTGAGTACAGAACCTAAGCAGTCACTTCAGGACTGACTACAGTCATTCATTCAGCAGGTTTGGAGTTAGCAGGCAGTGGCATTAGGTTTTAGAGACTCACCCTCCAGCAGTAAAAACCTGGGGGATGGCAGAAGGGTGAAAAGCAGCAGATAAGACTTACGAAACCCTTTCTCCTCACCACAGGCAGGCAGTGTGTGTCAGCTTGAAGAAGGAAGCAGGAAAAGTACATAAGGGTTTCAAGAGTAGCTCCATCTCACAGCCACTCAGCTGAAACAGGCACCAACTGCGGGCTGAGCCCCCTAAGAAGGGTTCAAACAACACTACCAACAGCTGAGAAAACAACAGAAATCATAACATTGCCTCTTCTTGCTCCCTACGTCATCACCTCTCAGGCCACTCTCAGGAGCTCTCACCCTGACTTGGCATTCTGTTGTGTTACTGTGTAAATGCAAACTGATGTGTGCCTTGAGAGCTCAGAACAGAATAATGCCTCAGCAGTGCAGGAGGGAAGGCTGCAGGCACCCAAAGCCCACTGGCACCTCGGCCAGCAGAAGTTGATCCACACCAAGTTATCTACTGACACTTGCCATGTCCACCCCTATTTCCATGGGAACAGACACTGCGCTGGCCAAGACAAAGCAAGAACTTCTAACCCAGAACATATTGCCAAAGATGGAGCCAATGCAAACGAGCAAGAGGAAATTAATGCCAGTTCTTCATCTCCTGTTTCACACGCAGCTACTCAGACAATATTACATGCTGCTGCTCTTTGCCACTCCAAGCAGGGCACAAAGACTGGAGGCTCTGATCAGCAGAAATACAGCGGGTGAAAAGTTTAACCTGTCCTCCCACACAGACATCTCCAGCCAGCTACAGATTACAGCAGTCACAAACCAAGGGCTCCACAGAAGTCAGCTCCTATCAGAGGAAAGCCTGTGCATAAAGGAAGCCCATTAATAGCCAAGAAGGTAACTGGAGAGGAAGAGCTGTCACCCAGAGGACTGTTGACACAGCCATGAACGCGAGTTTGATTTCCCAGTGCATGAGGTGTGCTCAGGGGCAGCTCACCAAGAGGCAAGTGCACGCATTACTGACACGTAATTGCTATCAACACATTCTGTTCCTCAGGGCTCAGCATCTGGGACTGAGGCTCCAAAAGCCCAGAGGTGAAGCGCTGCCCCACATCCTTCCCTCCCAGCCCGCCACGTACTCCCAGTCAGCCATTACATGCCGACCAAACAGAGAAGCCTGGCATGAACCAAACAATTGTGCAATAAAAAGCCATTGAAGGAAACACACTTAATAGCTCAAAGGGGTAAAGTCTTCTTGGCCGTGCCTGGCACCATTGGCTAGAGCAGGCTTACTGACAGCCTGCTGTGTTCAGAGAACACGGGCTTTCCCCAAAGGAGGAGCAAGCCACAGCGTGCTCAGAAAAGACCCTTTTTTCCTCAACTCAGAAATAAGTCCACCAGGTCATTCTTCTTCTGGTCACACACGAAAGGCGAAAGGCGTGTGGAAGGAGCTGAGCCATCCATCCTGATCAGCACCTCAGGGCACAGGATGAGAAACTGAGAACCCTATTAATATTTAAATGTGACCTCTTCCACACAGTGTGCAGAGGGCTCACCGTACAGCACGGTGCTGCTCCCCACACAAGGTCCCAGGGCACAGAGCAGTCCTTGCAGCCCTCAAACACATACACACAGAGAACAAACAGCTCTCTGCGCTCCTGCACTCACCTGCAAGCGGCAGCAGGAGCAGCTCAGCATTCATGGATCGACAGAGATGCGGTTCACTGATTATGAGAAACGGGCAAAACTCAGACAACCTGGGGGGCTTCGGGGGAAGTACAGCAAGGTAACCCAGTGTGACAGCAGCTCCCCAGCCGCTCGCAGACAGAAGCTTCCAGCGATTAGGGAGCAGCAACGGCTGAGAACGGCTCCTCTGCTCCTGCGCTTCAGCCTCTGCCCCGTCCCTGCCGCTCACACGGCGCTGCCCGGCGCGGGGCAGAGCTGCAGGAAGACGGCGCAGCAGCGCGTGCTGGCAGAACTCGCTGTGGAAACTGGGGTCTTGCAGTGGAAAAAAGGCAAACGGGAGCCAGGCGGCTGCACGCTGCCGGTTTGGCTGCCTAAGCGTTCACGTCACCTTCCCAGGCGAAATTCCACTCCGCTCCACGAGGACCGGGGAGGCAGGGGGAGGCAGAAGGGCAGCAGAGCAACGCCCGCCAGCCCCGCACCACGACGGCCCGCAGGCCGCGCTCCCCCTCGAGGCCGACAGCGCCCGGCACCGCAGCCCCGCGGGGACGCGGACGGGGCCCTCAGCGGCGGGGCTCGGGGCGGCGCTGCGGGACGCGGGCCCGGACGCCGCCGTTACGGACGGGCTCCGCCGAGAGTAGAGGTCCGGGCCCGGCTGCCCGCCCTCCCCCGACCCACCCCCCCCCGGAACCGGCGGCGCGGCCCCCCCGGCCTCACCTCGGCCCACGCGGCCCTCGAGCGGGTCCTTGCGGAAGTGAATGCCGTTCACGTCCACATGGGCATCGCCGCCCGCGTTGACGGCCCAGACCACGCTGTCGGCGAGGCCGCCCGCCGCGCCCCGCAGCAGTGCCGGCAGCAGCAGCAGCAGCAGCACCGGCAGCGGCGCCCCGCGCGCCCCGGCGCCCACCATCTCGGGCTCCAGGCGCTGCGCCCGCCGCCGCCCGCCCCTTCCTGCTGTCGCCTGGGGGCGCCCTAACCCGCTGCCGGGGCGGGCCGAGCGCAGACCAATCCACAAGCCGCGAATGGAATATTAAATTTACGTCCGTTTCCTATTGGACGGCCTCGAGACGTCATCTGCATATTCATGACGCGCGCGACCAATGGCGAAAGGGAGCGGGAGAGTAGGCTCGATCAGGAGGCGCGGGGATGGCGGCGCAGCGGTGGGAGGCGTGACCGGCCGGAGCGCAGCGGCGCTGAGTGGGCCGAGCGGGGAGCGGAGCCGCCGACAACGAGCCGGGACTACCCCGGGCCGGTACCGGCTTTCCCGGAAAGAACAGCGGCGGCACAAACCACAGCGACAGCACGAAGCGCGGCCTCAGATCGACGTGCCGCCGTGCGCCTGAGGAGGAGCCGCGCCCACTGCGCTCCGCCAATCACGGAGCTCCAGCGCGGCCCGAACGCGAAGTATTGTGGGACGGCGGGAAGCGGGAGCTCGGCGGGTTGCCGGGCAACGGCGGGGAGCGGCGCGGGGCTCGTGCGTCCCCCGGGCGGGCAGCGGGGCCGCGGGGCGCGGCTGTTCAGTGCTCTGCTTCCCTTCCTTCTGAGGGCTCGGCCTTTTTAGCTAGCGAGGCACTGAGCGTTGCAACACCTCCTGCTAGGAGCAGAGCACGTGCCAGTAACTAACCTGGAAGATGGTTCGCCAATAATTGGCGAGCTGGCTTGAAGCAAGAGGGGTTAGCGGAGCAGGGAGTGAAATCGGGCAGGAGGAGCACTTGTCCTGCCACCAGCAGAGCAAGGTGGGTGTGCTGTGATGACCTGCACCCGTGATGTCCCACGCCGCTGCCACATAATTGCTACCTGCAGCCACTGATGGCCTGGATTGCACCCCAGAGGCTCTGTGTGCTGCTGCTAATCCATTGAACTTCCCGGTCCCTCGGTTCAGGCAGGATTTAAACCAGTAACCTACAAGTGAAAGGCTCAGGGTTGCTGTCCCAACCCCTTGATCTCCCTGTCACCTGGCAGCTGTGCTGAAATCACTCCCAGTTGGGAATTAGGCCCACCTGGTCTGCAGCCCTGCTGATCCACATGTGGGACGTGTGTTTTGGATATTAGCCATTTCCTGCAGGAAAAAGAGATCAGGATATCTAAAAGGAGCGATGGAGAAATGCGGGGCAGAAATAGACCTTGTGGCTGCAACAGAGAAGAGATATCTGAGAGGTCAATATGAGCCAGCCTCACTGCCGGGCCAGATCCAAGCCAACTGCATGGATCTGGTGTGCCTGGAGGGACCTGCTCTGCCTCGTTGTCTGGAGCTATTTGGAAGGCTCCCTAATAGGGGTTTGAAGATGAGAGCGAAAGGATTATCTCTGGAATTAGATTATTTAAATTGGAGCTTTAATCTCTGGCCCTGTCAGCACAAGAAAATAAGAAAACTCCCTAGGATTATTTGGGTTTTGTTATGCAAACAAAACCAGCAAGAGCTTGTGGTAGGACAAAAATAATGCTTGGAGACCTGCCCTGTTTGACCTGTTTGATGTATCACGGGAAGACCTGGCAGGAAAGAGCTGGAGGTCATGTAGCAGAGGCTTAGCTTTCCTCGAAAGCAGCTGTGGCTCCAGGACTGCCAGTGGCACAAAGGTGCCCTGTGACCACCCCTACCCCATGCCAGCACGCCAGTGCTTCTGGGGAAGACATATACAGCCCTGCCAGGTTGCAGACACAGGAACCCATGTAAGTTAGCAGGGAACATCTCCATCCACTATGACACTGTGCTTGGGGACAATCCTGTGCAGTGCAAAGCATTGCAGCCTCCAGAAATACGTTTATTATTTTAAATAAATTAAGGCTGTGTCCTTCAATCTGCTGCTGTGAGCCGAGCAACGCGTCGGTTCAAGTTGGCTGTTGGCTCCTCTTCCCACCAATGCCTGTTGGGTTTCTGCATGCTAGCTCCAGCACAAGGCTCGGGCTGGGTTGTTGCTGGTCTCGGCAGCCAGCCAGTCACTATGGCACACAGGCTAGCAGCAAATCCAAACTCTCAGCATACATAAATGCTTCTCCCTCAATGGGCTCCAATGTAAGTAAAGCACATCTGCATGCAGACGCAAGCCTGAACAGGTCTGACTCCTCTGCAGTATTATCCTAAGCACACGCACGGCACACCAGGACTCTGGACTCTGCTCATTTATCGCTCTTACCCTCCCCTAAGCCCAATACAGCTGCTGTGCTGTACAGTTTCCAATTTCTCAGCTCAGACACACGTTTCTAAAATGACCAGCTACAATGATAAATAGAAACAGACACAGAGTCTGCATACACCCACTGGCAAATAAACTTTTTTTGCTGCGCTGTCAGGTACCTACTTGCATTCCCTTTTGTGTGCACACAAACCTAGGCCAGTGCACATGCTTGTGCAAACACTGTTACATGCACATACAAAAAGCATGGTTCTTCCACTGCTGGGTTTTAGTTGTTGCTGCAACTATGCTAGTTGGCACAGCAACGGGAAAGCAGAAGAGAAAATCCCCCTTTGGGATGTGGATTTGTGGACCCTGGTAATACAAGAGGGAACTTGGGAATTGAGAGATCTGTGATGAAGAAAGCAGAAGGATATTAGTCTCCAATCTCCAGTGTGGAGGAAGCAGGCAGCGGGAGAAAACAGCTCCCAGTTGCACTGAGAAACCTATAGCAATCATGATGCCTTTTGAAGTCAAGCAGGAATTCGCCCTGGTGATTCATGACAGAGCCTCTGCATAGAGAAAAGAGATAACTGCAGGTCCTGGGGGGTAGGAAAAGAGAGCGGGAGGTTGTGAGCAGCTTGGGGAAAGGAGAAGGACAAGGGTGTCTGGAAGCAGCAGGCAGGGTGTGGAAGCTGCTGCCATGGTCACTGCTGCAGGAATGCAGGATTCTCAAGTGTGATCAAGCTGGAGAATGGGGCCCCGCCACACAAGGAGTCCACAGGGCTTCTGGCCAATCCTCAGCACCAACGGTTACAGCAGCCCCACAGCACAGTCCTTCACTGTGCATACGCTGACAGTCGGGTTTGAAAATGTCCAAAAATGGGAGGGTAGATATGGCTGCCTCACCTGGTGCCATTCCTCCCGTTGCTCCTCACTCCGGGGCTGCAGGAGCTCTCACTCGCCCCATTGCAAGTGGGGTGGAGAGGTGGGGGCCAGCAGCAGGGAGGGCAGAGCCCGGCTTCAGGCTTTGTGGCTGGCAGGATCTCCCCGTCCCACAGCCAGGACTGGCCCTCAATCCTGGTGCAACATGCCAACGTGTGTATCTGCCACAGCCCTTCCCCCCCAGCCCCACCACCGCCTCTCACACGGACATCCAGGCTCCACATCATTTCAGCGTGCATATTTATCGCTTTCCCCCCACAAGACATGTATTTGAATTTACTTTTGGTAAACATAACCACGGGAGATGCAAATTTGTGCTGAGGAAGCATAAATAACTCCACACAGATAGACACACGCATAGACAGCAAACACAGACAGGGTTCACCAAGGGAAACCAAGAAGTGCAGAGCACGCCCTGAGGCTGCCACCAGTTCCAATGGCTTTGCTCTCATCCACCAAGCCAAGAGGATTTCTCCTGCTCTTGCTTTGCAGCAACTGGTGGGAGAATAAAGCTGGGAAGGAGGAGTCTAAAGTTGCAAATAACCCATGAAAGCATCATGGCAAGTCCTGGCTCTGCAGTTTCCTGCAATCATCTCAGAGGAATGGTTCCAGTTGTAGGAAGTTGTAAGTCTTTCACAGTGTGAAAGGGTGGAGGGGCATGGGGACCACCGTGAGGGAGGAGCAGCAGGTCATCTTGCAATGTCCCATTTGCAGCCAGCCGATAAACCTTCCTGTGGGAACATCGGGGCTAGATGCTCCATCTAGGTCCTCTTCTGCCCTCTCTAAGGTGCTGATTTTTCTTTAGCTGAGAATATTCTTCAACGGGACATCATGCGAACAAACTCTGCAACCAACAAGAAAAGACAGCCCTGAAGCAGAAAACACCCCTGGTCTCCAACCCAGCTCTCATTCCATGGAGATACGCAGCCAGTGGACACTGGGGCTCCACACGCTGCCAACAAGTTAGTGCAATTCCATGGCTGGCCCTGAGGAGCTCACACAAAACGGGCTTTAATCCTTGTGTTAGGTAAGGTAATATGATCCCTGTAGCAGGGCAGTTCATTTCCTCTGATCCTTCCCAGAGCACAGCCTTGTTTGCACAACCAACTCCCTGGAACAAATTATTGCAAATTTTATTTTTTAATATTTATATTTCCTCCTTTCACTGTAATTTTGGAGCAGGCTGGTTTGTAGCCTTGGGATGACAGCACAAGTTCCTAGCAAGCCTGCTAAGCCTGCTAAACCTGCCACTTGCAGGAGACCCAGTGTTGGAGAGCACTAATGTTTTAGTAGGTACCAGTATTTATTTGTATAGAAAAGTTTGCTTTGATGGATTACTTGTTTTTGAAGATACAGATTAACTGGAAGGATATCCTGGATCTATTTCTTCACCACCCTGCAGCTTGTGAAGTCAATTACAAGAGTTAAAATCGAGTGCAGATGCCATCAAATATAAATGTGTTTTCATTCTACACTTGAACTGACCGGAAATTAATAATCACAAAGAGGAGGGCAGTGGAAATTACCCCTTTGGCTCCTCTTTTTCTGTTGATGGAGCTGTCCTTTGACAACTAAAGCAGTAACTCACTGAGAAAATGATACTAGTATTTCATGTATTTTAACTGTCTAACATAATTCAGCTGCCGGGAACAAGGGGAGCTACTGTCGTGTAATCAGTGCATTAGAACATCTGCACTAGGAAAACAAGCAGCCTGCCGTGTTCTTGTGCCTTCCAACTCTTGGGTATGCTTAATTGTCTGATGACAGCAACTGCTTTCCTTACCAGGAACCTGAGCTCTATTAACATTACTCGTGCCATGCCTAATGTCCAGGATAGTACCATAATCAATCTTACTCTTTCCAACTTCTTCTGGCATGGGAAGTGGGAGAAGAAATGAATTCTCTCTAGGATTAAACATGATCTAGAGGATCAGCTATCAACAGTGATAGTGGCACAACTAGCACGTGACCAACTTCTGGGATAAAGGTACAGAAGCAAAATCTCTATAAACCCAGACAATAAGGTGAGCGAGAGGAAATGAAGGGTGCAATGCAATCTCCAAACCTGCACCAGTCTCCTCACAGCTCTTGCAATAGATTGAATGGGAAGAAAATGCCCCCTAAAATGAAGTCTGGCACTGCATACGAGCAGCAGAAGCTCTTTCTCTGTGACAGGACATATCTCTTCCTATGCTAGAACTGCTGATACCAGATTGAAATAGCAGTACAGCACAAGAAGGATACACAAACAAATACTCAGCTAAGGAATTATTTCTTTTTTTTCCTCCGTACTTCAGATATCTGGACTCAGAGCATGCAAGTCTTCCTTTCTGCTTCCACCTCCAAGCTGAAGCTCTGCCTCACACGACAGCAGATGGACAGGGAGCATTCGTCCCTTCTCACCTTCAAAGTCAACGCGCCCATCTCCATTCAGATCCACGTCCCGGATGATCTCTTCAATATCCCGATGACCCACCTGCTGCCCTAGAAGCTTCTTCATGGCTTCTCGCAGCTCACTGGTGCTGATCTCCCCATCACCATTAGTGTCAAACTGCAAGTACATGAAAAAATGCCAGCAGGGGAAATACAGTTAAGGAAAATGGATCTTGCATTGGGTTGGACTTTGTATTGCCCTGCTCTTGAGTGCCCTATTTTTTCTGCATGCCTTTTGTGTCCCTCTTTTTCCTCCTTCACGTTCCTTTTGGTCTGGATTCGGTATGCCTTTTCTCCTCAAAAACCTCTCATCACTACCACGTCTGCACCAGCTTTCCTCTTCCTTTCCTCAAGAGCTCCCTTATCTGAGTGTTCTCTGCTCCTCCCTTGTTTCATGCCTGGTTGGCTCTTTCTCATTCTTCCACTCTGCTGCTCTCTCCTCCTCTTTTCTTCCCCCTAGATCTTCTCTCTTTCCAGTTTCCTGTCACTCACCTTGGGGCCACACGGTAAGAAGCACTCACCTCTCTGAAGGCATCACGGAGCTCTTTTACACCAATCATGTCTGCAGTTTCTGCCAGCAGCTTTGGTCCCATCAGCTCAACAAAATCTTCAAAATCCACATGGCCACCCACTTGGGATAAGATGAAAGATTGTGTGTAAGAACTCAATTTGTTAGCCAAGCTGAACAGTCCCTTTGCACTTCAGCATGCCCCAGAGGGCTTGGTTCTGCCGGCAGCAAAGCACGGAAGGTGGAGGACAGTGGAAAGAAAAGCACAGGTACTTTTACAGTGTCTTGCATTTCCTGGATTGCAGGATAGGTAGAATGAGCCCAAGCTACTTCATCCTATGGTGCCACAGATTGTCACATCCTTATGGCATCATGTACCAAGAATTAAAGGCTTGATCTTACTACAGCTTATAGCAACCCTCTGCTGTACCTGTGCCAGTGGATTCGGCAAAGGCACAGCATGATGTTCCTGCCTGGCCTGGGCAGTGCCACGCAGCAGTGTCTTACTCCATGAGCTGTGGCTAATGTATGTCCAATTGTTTACTCATCAGATTTATCCCTTTTCTTGTTTGCCCTCTATCTGAAAGCTGGCAGTAACACCCTGCAGTTCCTAATCACTTGAGTGCTATAGCTATCAGCTGTTCTTTACGTGTGAATGGTCGTATATGTTACAACTACTGGTCCCTTCTCTTTTCTACACAGGTCTATGTCAAAAACAACATGCACAAAATATTCATTTTCCCACCTGGCCAAGGGTAACATCCCACACTGCCACAGACAAGTGGTGACAAAAACCAATGGTGAAAGACAAGGGCACAAACCATCACAGTGCATCAGACAGATCTGCAACATTTTGCCTCGCCTCCACCAGCACAGCTCACAGACCATCTGCAGGCACACAGCCAATGCACAAACACCAGAGCAGACCGAACAGCCCATCCACCACCCATTCTGACCAAAGCATCTCCATCTTCCCCTTCTCCTTCTTTAGTATGATGCCATCTGACACCAGCTTCAGTATGATGACATCCATGACATGTACACTAATGTCTGACTGTCCAAATCAAGGGCATCTGAAAGATTTAAGCATGGGGGACAGCTATTCCTTATGTTGCTCACACAAAACACAATCCAAACAGTCCACTCTTTTAGTAAACCAAAAAAACCCAGCACATCAAGTGCTTGGATCACAACTGAACAGAGAAATGATAGGGAGCAAAACATGAGAATGAAAAAAGGGAGGGAAAGAAAAAGAGGAGGAAAAAAAAAAAATGAATGGAAACAACAAGAGACTGCAGCAGCCCAAAGCAGTGATGCAGGGCACAGCAGCCACAGGAAGGTACAGATGGGTGGATATTACTCACAGTTCATGTTGATCTGCTGGGAGAGTTCTATGAGCTCCATTTCAGTAGGCATGTAGCCCATGGTTCGCATGCAGTTCCCCAGGTCCCTGCAGTTAATAAACCCATCCTTGTCTTTATCAAACTCCTTAAAGGCTTCTCTTAATTCTGCAGGAGTGGATCCAAAAAGAATGCAATTGTCAGTGACAGCCTGAAATACTTTTTCCAAGAAACCTCCCCAGAAGCAGCATTTTATGAGGCCTGACTCTCCAAGACACACACATTTCCTAGCAGATATCCCTATGAAGAAGCAATGACTGGAGTAACATTAAACTCTTCTATCAGCATTGCTGATAGAGCTGATATTGCTGATTTCATTACAAGAAGGCACGCTTTGACTGCAGAGGCTTTGAAGTATCACGGACTGATCTCTCTTAAACTGCACTCCCAAAAGAAACTGGAAGTAGTAAGTTTTCCCATCTTTCACCCATGCACTATATTCTATAGTCCTGACTGCAAGGATGAGCTTCTTTAAAGCCAAACCCCTTTGTCATGCTCTTCAATACTTCCTGTGGGAGTTGGGTGTACAGCAGCTCTCTGACAGCCAATCTCCCTTTTCCTCATTTATCCTCCTCACGCTGTATTACCTGTAAATTCCTCTACAGTCAGCATTGTTGCAGTTTTACATATTATTTATTTTGCTAGGATTGCCAGGAATTATTCCAGCAATTTGCCCAAATTATTTTACACCCTGGGGGCCAACCTGGAACAGCCAGCCAGCATGTTTTTACTGGACAGAGAGAAAGGTGACACAGAAGGAGCGGCAACTTTTACCTTCAATTTCTTCTGGACGCAGTTCTCTATCCTGCAAAAACAGAACACACTACGTTTAAGTCATTTGCTCACCACAGACAAAATTTCAGAACAGCACTTGTTGGGGCAAACAGTTCTGGGGACAAGCCAGAAAGCAAGAGAAGAAACAAGAAGGTGATGACATGTTTAATACCATCTACCTAGCTTTTCTGTGGAAGCCCCTCTCCATCCCATCTGCTGGACAGGGCTGTGAAGGATATTCCCCCAAACAGAAGAAACCTGGGCCAGCATAAGCCCTGCATGTGGCATCCCCACCTGACAGTGCTGTGAGTATCACAGGGCTCCTTGCGTCATTCCCCAGCACAAGTCCTGGAGCACAGACTGGCCCTGCAGCTGCTCTACAGCTCTGACTGTATTTCCTTCCTATTGCAGCTCCCGTCGAAACAGCCGGATCAAAATAGCTGGAAGATGCTCCTGCCACCAGAAGCTACAGCACTGTCTGCTTGGATCCCTGCCTGATCCCTGTCCTGCTAGTGAGACAAGGACAGCCAGGAGCAATCCTCCAGCCAATGCCCCCATGCCACCTCCTGCAGTCAGTCACCCCAGGAAGACAGGAGCTCTCCCCTTCCCCCCAGCCTCACACAAGCACTTTGGAACCAGGCAGACACACAACATATACATCCTCAAGGTCATCTACAAACAAAACAGGACAAGGATTCACCATGTTCAGGAAACACTGCAACATCCAATTTGAATTTCTTGGAAGAAGGGGGAGGATATAAAAAAGTATAGGAAAATTCCAACACTGCATCAAGAAGAAGAGACGAGCATGGAAATGCACTGCTTTCTGGTTTAAATGCCCTTTCTAATTCCTCTCATGGCTCCCAGGCAAATCCAAAACATCAGTGAATTTGGAAACACAGAAAAGCAATCTCTTTTGTCGTCTGACTCTCGGCTCTTCCCCTCAGCCATGGGGAGTTTCTCCTTGCCTTCCGGGTGTCCTGCAGTCTCACCGCACGTCCCCGGAGACAGTGCCCTTGAACAGTTGGAGAAGGGTGATCCTTTGCTATGTAACCACAGGCTCCTCTGGAAACTAATGGCGGCTGCTCAGAGTGCACAGCAAACTAGGACACACGCTGGTTTACGTCTATGCAAAAGGGGCTGTGCCAGAGCAGTGACCAGCTTGCCACTCATAACCTTCCCAGAGGCATCTCTGCGCTGGATGGAGCAGTCAGAGCGTGCTGGCTCTGCAGCTTCATCCTTCACAGACCTGGTATTTTCAAACATGTCATCCCATTTGTTCTGCTTTCATTAACACCAAGCAATAAAGCAGTCCGACCCCCACGTACCGGATGCAGGAGGCTTTATTGCCCTCCTGCCTCACATAAAGCAGCAGATGAGAACTGCTGTGGGCAGCGCCGACACCGCGTGCACCTCACTGCAAAGAGCTCACACACACTGCTCCCCTGCAGCAGCCTCAGGGCTGTGGTTGCCACTGTGGCACCGACAGTGGCAGAACTGCTGTCTTGTGAGAGTGCCTGAGGACGGGCCCAGGCCTTCCTCCAGCGCAGCAGCACAACCTGTCCTCCTCCCCACTCACCACGTTGCAAGCAACATGACCGACACGTGTCAGAAATGAGGGCTTCAGCTCTAATTCCACGCACCGAGGCATTCACATTTGCAGGGCTCCAAGCATATCTTTGCACATGCTGATTCTATCATCAGAGCCACAGGCTGCAAATGCAAAAGGAGGAGGAGGGTTTGCGTCCCTCCAAAAATGTGACTCAAGTGGGAACTAACGTCACGGAGAGGTTTTCTGGTTTAAATTTGAGAAAAGAATTTGAGAAAATAAAAAGATAAAGGAGGAAAATAGCTCGAGAAGAAATGGGCTGAATCACTCTAATGCTTTTGGAGAACATACGGAAAGAGGAATACAACTGTTCAGAGTTTAGATCCTAGACATGAGCAGAGGTGACCCTCAGAAAGTCCATTTTACATAATGGTCTTACTCTCATTTATTTCTGTTCCATGCACAGTAAATCCAGTTGGTCTAGAGAGTCAGTAAAAATAAAGCTGTTTATCAGATGCATTTATTCTACAACAGGGCAGAGACATTGCTAATCCTATTTTGGAAATATCTTAGGGTACACTGGCTTTGCAGGGCTGAGCACGGCTACCTGTCAGCCTGAGCCTTCTGCGAGGAGCTGGGCCCATTTCCTGCAGTGGCAGCTCTGTCCGTGCGCTGGTGTCACACTGTCACACCTCGTGTTTCAATGAACTGACTTAAGGAATGTGATCACTTAGTGGTTGAAGATTAGGAACAAAATCCCTTTGATCAATAATGACTGAGTGCAGTTCTTTTTTGGGTTGTCGGTTGAAAATGAGGTTTTGGAAATAAAGATCTGGATGTCTCCTCCAGCTGTACATCACTGTGGGAGGCATTTCCTAGAGGGGCAAGAAAGCTCTGTCAGGTAATTGGGGTGAGTTTTGTTTTATCAGAAGAATATGAAATGCACTGGATTGGTGTGTAACACTGCACATCCTCACTCATCAGGCTTCTTTGTGCATGTCTTTAAATACATTGTTGTCAGAATCGAACCTTATGTGCAAAACCACACGTTACTTCTTGAAAAGATGTGATATTGAGGTGCATGCCCCTGTGTATTTAACATGTCCACATGCATACATTTGAATTTATATACAAATATATTTTTCATTGTTTATGTGCAGATACACATGAACACAGTCACAAATAGGAGTGGATAGATGTGTTTTTGCTATCTATCTGTGTGTACAGGTAATAGCGTTTGGCCGTCTGGCACTATTTACCAACATGAGGACAGACTGATGTTCTTTGGTTTCTTTGGCTGGGAATGCTGCAGTGTCAGGCTGCGTATAAGAGTGGATGAGAGACTACATTTGGGCTTCTGCAAGGAGGCAGATGCATGCTCGTTTCTGCTTGTATTAGCATGCTTGCTGTGAGCTGACAGCAACAGTAACAAATACGGGCATCTCTGTGGGACAGCGTGTTCCCAATATGGATGCCCTGATTTGCATGAAAGCGACTATTTAGCCCTAAATGCTAATCTGAGCCTCTGGGAATGTGAGGTTGACGTCCTGCTGGAACAACAGCTTTGAATACTGGACTCCTCTGGAGTCCCTCTGATTGCGTAAGACCCGAGGTCCTAAATTCTTCTCCTAAATCCATGGAACTTCATCTGCTTGAGTTTAGGCTTTGATCTATTTTTCACAGCTGCACTTTTAGAATCCCCCTGACTGGGTGTTTAGGCACAGGTTTATCTTTGCACATCCTTCAGGTTAGACATTTGCTCGTGATTGCGTTTGCTGGAGCTGGAGCCGGGATGCTGGAGGCCCAGGGCCGGGGGTTACAGAGCTCCCCGCACACGGGGCACACGGGCAGCCCCGCATCCCTGGCTCAGGTCCACGTGGCTTAGTGCATGTCTCGCCCGGCAGGGTGTAACTTACGTACAGGCTGCCTGTTTTCTGCGAAGCCCTTCCTCAGGAAGATGCATGCTGGCCCCAGCAGGTTGTGCATGACGGCGCAGTTCTGGGCCAGCACCATGAGCGGACCCTGGTACTCCGACGGCCCCTCTTCGCTCGTCTGGACAGCCTTATAGCACGTCTTCTCCTCATGGCGGATCTTCCCAGCCAACCAGCAGCAAGCAAACAACACAACAGAGGATGTTACCTCCCTGTCTCACCCAGCCTTTCCTCTGAAGATTTACTGAACCGCCTCGCAGAGCCATTATTGCTAAATTTCCTTCATCCGGTCCACGCTGCGTCCCCCCCACTGATCTATTATGGGCTGTATAGAAGCACTAAGTCCAGCAGTTCACTTTCAAAAGCTGACAGAAGTACAGCCGACCGAGAGAATTTCGCTTTGAAATGACATCAAACTCTCAACTCTCACATCTACCCAGGGAGAGCCCAAAGGGCTGAGCTCCCACTGCCGGCTCCAGAGTTAATGATTCCTCAAGTGAGCTGCGAAGGCCAAGCACAGCCCGGCACAACGGGACGCGTGCCCTGGGCAGAGCTGCTGGCAGAGCTGTGTTGGCCAAGGCCTCCCCAGGAGGCGAGGCAGGGCCTCCCCAGACGCTCTGGCTCCACTTTACGTTTCATCAGCCAGCATCACGCACGATACAGTGTTATCAAAAGGCCTTTTAGGGCATCAGGTGGCTCTGCCAGCAGCCGGCTCACACTCCTTGTTCCAGTGCTAATTAGTTACATCCTCAAGGTTTCAGGCAGTTACTGCACTGACCTCTTCTCATTGCTTACATTTCCAAGTGTAGAGCAGTCACAAGCACAACAGCTTTGTCTGTTTGCATTTGCACATTTTTATAAGTGCACGTCCTGCTAAGCTGGGGCTCCAGAACAGAATCCAGCACTGGGTTTTATAAGGAGGCACTGCTTTCCTTTTATAGAAATGCATTTCCCTGGCTCTGCAAAAAACATCTTATCCTGATATTCCCATGCAGCTATAAAAAGCCAGCACAACCCACAGGACCCTTGGTTTTATAGAATAAACATTAATCATACATCAGATTCCTCTTCAGGAATGACTACTTTTACAGCCAGTGTTCCCAGGGGTGATCAGAGATGCTGTCAATTGTCACTGTCTCCTCCATTAACCCTTTCCTTAAAGCCTGAGGTGCTTTTTCAGGCTAAAGCATCTCTCTCTCTCTCTCACACACACACACACCTCTCTCACACTTATCCAAACCTATTGTATCGATTTGCTGTGTCTACCGTGTGCCACTGCCTCGCACACATGGCTCATTGTTTGCATTTTTATGGTCTTACACCAATCTGCTTGTGTATAATGTCATGTGAATATTAAGCATCAAAACAAAAGCAAGCTGCAAAGAAAGAAAATCATCAAGCAGAAAAGCATTTTCGTTGCAGTCATGGAAAAGGTGAAAATCTGTCTCCAATTAAGTGTGACACATAGGACACTTGTCCTTAAAAACCTAAAAGATGAGCATCCATCCACAACTGGCATATTACCAGCTCAGCTAAATATCATGGCATCTGTGTTGAGCTGCATAGCTTCGTGACATCAGCACAATGTCATTTCAAAAATTACCAGCTTTTATTCTTGGCACATTTTTTCAGTTCAGTATTGCAAATAATACGGCTCACTTAAAATAGCCCACATCAGTTCTGCGTTTAATTCCAGCGAAGACAGATGAAAGACCAAAGGCCCCATAGCCTGCACCTAATCCTTGTTTTCTGACCCTTCCAGTTAATTGAGCTTCCTGCCAATTCACTCGGCAGTACTGAAGGATGATCGTCCCATTATTTTCCTGTGTGTGTAAATATTGCCAGTTTGATGAAGCAGTTGCCAGGAGCAGTGAAGAGCTGGCCAGACACCCAGTGCCAGGTCTCTCAGTGTGACACCTGCAGGGGCTCCTGCCCTGCCTGGCAGCTCCAGGCAGGATTCCCTCTGCCTAGCAGCCTCCCAGGTTTCTCCTGAAAGCATTCCCTCTACCACATTCCTTTATCCAGGCAGAGCCAGGAGGAAAGCCGTGAGAGGGGAGCAAAGCAATGTCAGCTGCCTGTTAGAGGGGGAAGGCAACATGCACAACAAGGAAAATACAAGGAAAGGACAGGGTCTGCATGCCAGAGGGTCTTTGCTGAGCACCAGCTCCAGAGGTGCCTCTTCATCACCACTGAGAGTAGAAAGGCACCAGGCTGGCCAGCAGGGTCCCTGGGGAAAGCAAGCCTGCTGCCTGCCAGCACTGGGAGACAGAAAGCCTGAACATTATCACCAAACAGACAAGGATGAGTCCCTGACCAGGCCAGCCAGCACCTGGAAAGAGTCCCCAGCTTTCTGGTTGAAGTCACATATTGAAGAGAATAAATCCAGTTACCCAAGCTCAGCTTTCACACACACATCATCTACAGTCCCTCGTTGCCATTTCAGTGAAGTGCAAGAAAAGTATGAGCAGGTAATGTCCCTCCAACAACTTGCCCTCAGGAATGGATATTATGAGCAAAAGGCCTTCAGATTCCTAAGCCATTCTCCTAATCATCTTAACTCTGTTTCCACCCGCTGAGGCAGGAGCACATGGCAAAGATCAAAGCAATGAGAAAGCTGTGCCTGGTGGTTCAGGCTTAACAGCAAAGTAGTGCTGTGGTCCCAGGACCTTCACGTTCAAAGGAGCTTTAGGGAGACAGGAGTGGGGTGAGGACATAGGAGAGAAGCAGGCAGAGAACGATTACTTCTTCCCAATATAACTTTGTACCACCCAGGGCCCAGCTCCTCATCTTCCTCACTGCCTTCCCTCTGAGTTTGTCCCAGGTAAAATCTGAGAAAAAAAGCCAAGGATAACAAAAAGGCCAAATGAAGATGTACAGCATGAGTGACCTACCAAGCATCCACCATAACCACGTGTGTTACAGCCTGGAGGACAGCACAGCCCCCAGGATATCTCAGGATTAGTTCCTGAGGCTGGGCTGAAGTCTGAGAATTCTCTAACTCAGCTTCCTAACTTCCTCTCTTTAGTCCTGCCTTCCCAGGCCTTCTCAATAGCACTTCTAAAGTGCAGTATTTGAAGCAGCTTTTAGGAATGAAAGCATAAATTACCTAAAAGACTGATCACACAGAGTTTATAAGTTATTCAGTCTATTTTGATTCAAGAAGCCTGGCCACACTTCAGACTTTAATTGCAATTTCCTTGATCATGTTGAGCACAGCTGCAGCCAGCTCCTTTCATTGCAAGTTGGAGGCAACCTAGGAACAGCCAAAGTGCTCTTCTTTCAGATGTGCATTTGGGTAAGCCTCACCTACTGCCTCTTCCTGAAGGTCACCCTGACCCAGGGACTGGTCTTGGCACTATCAAACTGCCCGATGATGAACTCCCTCCTCATGTATCCCAGCTGTCCCTTCGTGCCACAGCTGTATCATTACTGACCTTGTTTACAGCTGCTAACAAGTAAACTGTGCTCCCACACAGAAGAGGCACAACTTAGGCCTCCCTAGCAGAGAAGTGCTCTGCTCACTGCAAGGTCTCCTGCATGCAGCATCCCAAGGGCAGTGGCATTTGCTGCCAGCAAGGTCTCTGCAGATGTAGCTCTTCATTTAAATATTTCAGATGCTTAGCCTAACTTCATGAGGGAATCAACCAGCTTTTCACTGAGTTATTGGATTTTCAGCAACGCCAAGCAAGAGCTGTGTGGCTGACAGGTACACAGTGCTGCAACACCTTCTGCAGTCAGACAAGAACTACCACTAGGACAAATTGTTCTCACTGCAGTCTGGTCCCTAAGAGCAGAATAATCCCTGAATCTAATTTATCCTGGGACCATTTTAAAATCTCAGCACAGAGCAGTTCGTGGACTTGAGCCTAACAGGCACAGGTGGCAGCTTGCCTATGAAGTGCAGCACACACATGGGCCATACTGACGTGCAACACAATGCATGAACACGCAGCTAATGCCTCTGTCCATACCTCTAAGGCATGGACAGATTGCAGAAAAACATGCTTCTGTACCCAAATGCATACCAGCAATATGTGCGTATGGAAAGATGGATGCACATAAAAACATATGCCTGCCTACAGACAGACTTCTGTGAGGACATGCACTATGAGACAGGCACACACAGCCATACAAGCAGGGATAGGTGTGTCACACATCTTCCCCACGTGCACACACACAACAAACACTGCCACCTGCTCACACACCTCTGAGTGAGTATGTAGAGACATAAAGGACACACACATACTACAGATATGCTCATTAATTGTGCTTATTTGTGCTATGTCCCAACAGGAGTACATACGAACACACACCCACTCACATGTCCATGAATGTATGTCCCAGGAGAAACGACACACACAACCAGACACATGCAGACACCTCTTGGTTGAAGCACACGCACACACGTGTGCACACGTACACAAACTGACAGGTTTACACATACACTGAGATGCACTGACAGTGCACGTCAGTGTGTTGTGCACATCGGCAGGGACAAACCTGCACACACAGCAGTGGTCAGCTGCACAGCCACGGAGTGGGGCACACACCTACTCACGTGCATGCATGTGCACACACTGATTTACGCTCACGTAGTGGCATCCCAGGCTCTAGTGGCTGCACCTGCACGTGCAGCTCTTACAGAAAAGACTCCTGCAGAGATCTGAACCCTTTGTACACATCCTTGTGTCTCTCCCACCTCCCTTTCCCATCTGCCCATGACGTCACCCATCCCAAGAAGCGGGGGTGGAAACGCACAATGCACTTTGATTTGGGGAACATACCTTTTTCGAGAGGTTTCTCAGTGGAGACTTCACACAGTTGCCCATAATATGTTGAGTCTGCCTTTCCGGTGGACTTGGTTATAAAGGAACTGAAGCAAATGATCCCATTAAAGGTATTCCTTGGGAGCAAAGCAAGAAAGGCAGCGCAAGGCAAATCCAAACAGCTACTGGCTGCTGGGGCTTCCCTCTTCAGGGAGCTTTTTCTCTCTCTGCCTCTCTCTCTCCGTGCTTTTACTTTATGTTCACTTTCTTGAAGAGATGAAGCAGGAAGGAGAGGGAGGGGAGAGAAACAGACAGAGAGAGGGAGAGAGAGGGAGAGAGAGTGAGAAGGGGAGAGAGGGAGGCGGATGTATAATCTACATCAGATTAATGTTCA